GCCTAAACAGGACTAACCTTGAATTCTGGTCTTAGGAAGACCCTGTGCAATCCAGGGAGCAGAGCAAGAGAGCAGCTCCTGCTCTCACCATCCTGCATCAGGCAACATACTGCAGCTGGCTTTCACCTGACTGAAGCCTTCTGCCCTGGCAGCTGGGGGGCCTGCTCCAGGTGGGGACACTCATCCTTGCAAGCAGCCATCAACGTACAAAGGGCACAGGTTCTCCGGTTTCTCCACCTTCAATTTAAAATACCCTAGCTTGTTTTGCAGATACTTAATCTAAGTGTTTTTCAGATCCTGTGCCCTACATTTTGGCTGGAAACAAAGTCCCACTCACATCCCTCATGCTCGTGACCAGGCTCTTCCCCAGAAGGCCACATGACCCCCAATTACCTACCTCTCCTTGAAGGAGGAAGAGACTGAAGGACCAAGGGATATCCACAGTTCACACTGATCTGTGAATGATCCACAACGGTGATCCCTGACCTGGTGGCCTTCTCAAAAGGGCCTTGGAATCCAAATGACCCATTTCCTGGAGGAAGATGCTTCACCCCTGAGGCAGATGCAGAGTCAGGAGGGAGACAGGGACAGAAAAGGAGGGAGCTGTGTTGCTATCCCCAACAGAGTGCTTGTGAAACTCTCTTTACATAAAATGAAGCTGGGTTCCTAATTCTGCAGTCAAAAAAAAAAAAAAAAACGACAAATGTAGCTAGGAGCAAAACATCAGAATCAATACGCACCCAAAGGATACTTTTTGTTTTAAAGAAAGTAAATAACTTCTAATGTGTATTTCCTCTATCCTTAGCAACAGTATCAGTTAACTCTTAGTGTTTATGATAAGCCCTAGGTTCTAAGAAATGTGCATGTATTCCGCTCATGAAGTACTGGTAACGATCCTCCAAGATGGGTGGCACCTTTTTTTTTTTTTTTTTTGAGATAGAGTCTCACTGTTGCCCAGGCTGGAGTGCAGTGGCGCGATCTCGGCTCACTGCAACCTCCAACCTCCGCCTCCCAGGTTCAAGCAATTCTCCTCCCTCAGCCTCCCGAGTAGCTGGGATTACAGGCACATGCCACTATGCCTGGCTAATTTTTATATTTTTAGTAGAGACAAGGTTTTACCATGTTGGCCAGGCTGGTCTCGAACACCTGACTTCAGGTGATCCGCCCCCCTTGGCCTCCCAAAGTTCTAGAATTACAGGCGTGAGCCACTGCACCCTGTCTGATGGGTAGATTATCTTCCATTTTACAGATAAGGAAAGGAGAGCAGAGAGGGTAAATAATGTGCCCCCGGTACAACCCATCAGTAGACTTCTAATTCTCTGGCTCTGGACTCTAATCCTAATCTCAGAAGGGAATGGTGCCATCAAACAAGATTGGGAGAAAAGGTAGAAGGCCTGCTTGCTAGTTGGGAAAAGCAGAGACTGTCTGAAACACTTAAACTCTACTTGCTCCAACAGGTGAACACAATTGAAAATTCAGAATTCACTCTCCTAATAGCTGGAAAGTATTACAAAGCCCACAGGCCAAATGATATCACCCTCCCAGGAAGTCTCTTGCATTATTGTGTTTTTTAATGTTATTTGTCAAGTGAAAACAAACACAGTGGCAGAACAGGCAGCACCCAGCGAGTGGCACTAATAGTGGACTAAGGATGGGCAATTGCTTCTCATCAAGAACCACAATGTGTCTAGTCAGTTTACAAACATAAATCAATACAAGTTCAAAAGCATCAGTAGCAAAGTCCAGGCCTGGATGCGAAGCTGGCACCCCTCTTTAAACAAATTGTTCCTCTCCACTTGCATGGTAAGGACCAGAAAGAGCTCTGCCACGTTGGCCAGCTCTTGCAGGGTAGCAGAGGCCACCTCCCTCTCCCAGCCTCAGGAAATCCAAGGCCACTGCATCAGCCTGGCCCGACCCAGAACCAGCCTTGGGCCCAGTCGGCCCAACTCAGAAAAAGGCAGGGGTCAGTCTCCAGCCCGGACTCCTCTAAAAGCCAGAAAGCAGTGACCCAGCAAATGAACAACAAGAGCGCTCACCTGAAACGGTTTCACCTTCATTTTTAGAGGAGAGGAACACATTAGGAGGGCGTATTACTCCACGGGTTTTAACCCTGGCCCTTGATGCTACCAGGTACCCATGATGCCCCTAATAAAGGTGAGAATTCTTCCACTTTTCTAACATTCAGCTATTTTTTTTAAAAAGTTGAACACTGCAGTTTCCGGAGAACTTTGCTATGTGAATTACCTCACTGCAGGTTTGCTCCCCTAGCTCTCTCCATTCCATGCCTTAAAAGTGCCAGGTGTCTCCTTGGGAGCTGCTCTGTGCTACTGCCGCCAGTCCTGCAGCCAACCTGTTTTGCAGGTCCTGCCTCTCCATCCACTGGGACCTCTCTCTCGACAAATCACCCCAGCCCACAGCTTCTCTGGCAAGCCAGCCCCTCACACTGAGGACCCCTGTCTCACCAGTCACCTCCCTCAGCTGGGCCAACCTGTCCAGCCCGTTCCTGCTTCCCTGGTCTCAGGTCTAGAGACAACACTTCCCTCCCTGAGCCTGTCCTCACTGCCTCCCTCATCTATACCATCACTGCTCACACTAGGGTGTCTTATCTGTCCCCTAATCCTGACTCCATCGAGAGGCCAGAGCAGCCTCCCCAGAACACCCTTCTCAGCAGGTCCACTGCAATAGTTTAAAGGTTTCAAAGCTCCCCATTCTCTAGCCAGCAGTCAATTCCTTCCCAGCACACAATGGATTCTGACACCCTCTCCACTCCATCAGTGCACACTGCCACCCACACCACACATGGTCCCTTCCTCTCCTGGGGAGCTGCCTCCTTGAATCTCCAGAGTCAAATATTTAGGGCACACTGAAGTCAAGACATCCTCCTTAAAGCTTCTCAAGCCATTCTGCAGCTCTGTGACCCCACTGCCTGCAGCCCACACACTTCTGTCCACTCAGCATCCCATAACTTAGCACTAAACTGATAGCGTCTGTTACTCTCCACCAGTAGTTGAGTTGTCCCAACTAGACAACAAGCTTCTTGAGGAGAAACAAATATATATCATATTCGTTCACATGCTTTCCATGGAGCAGAAAACCACTGGAGGCCCTCAATCTACATATCAGAAACAGGGTTCCATACTTTGTCACCACTCACCTTCCACTCCCACTCCCCCTCCACAGGTAGGGACATGACCTTGAACCAGTCAGCCTGGTTAACCTAAAAACCCCTTCTCTTCAGGCACAGAGAAGCAAGGCGGTTACTTAGTGGTTTCAATGACCTGAGACTCAGATTTCTGGGCTCAAACCTTTCACTGTAGATGTGCAAAAAAGACCCTCCTTGGCCAGGCACAGTGGCTCACACCTGTAATCCCAACACTATGGGAGGTCGAGGTAGGTGGATTGCTTGAGGCCAGGAGTTTGAGACCAGCCTGACCAACATGCCGGAACCCCGTCTCTACTAAAAAAAAAAAAAAAAAAAAAAAAAACACACACACAGACGCACAAAAATTAGCCAGGCGTGGTGGCACACGCCTGTAATCCCAGCTTCTTAGGAAGCTGATCCACAAGAATTGTTTAAACCTGGGAGGAAGAGGTTGTAGTATAGCACAGGTTGCAGTGAGCGGAGATTGTACCACTGCACTCCTGCCTGGGCAACAGAGCAAGACCCTGTCTTTAAAAAAACAAAAAACACCAAAAAAACGGCCCTCTTCAACTGGCAGCAATGGCAGCAATGCCCTGGTGTTGTGGGGAAGGAGGACTGGAGGCCCCAGAGAGAGCCCACTAGGGCCACCACCATGAGGAAGAGAAAAAAAGAGAAAAGCATCCATTTATTGGATGCTTTCTATTTGCCAGTTTTGCTGGGCAGATTGGATATATTATCTATTGCTAATTCTCATGGCATCCCTGCTAAAGCAGTGTTATTCCAATCACAGGCAGAGACACTGAGGCCTGGAGCTCCCTTTCCAATATGCCTCCATGCATGGGAGAGAAGGAGACAGTGAATTGTTTGAGAGGACAAGGCTTCAAAGGAAGCCCTGCACATGTGCGAACCCCACAGAGAAGAGCAGAGCAAAGGCAGGCCAGGCTGTCTAGGTAAGTTCACATTCACCCGGTTCAGCATTCACATGGGAATTTCACAAGATTTTTTTTTACAAGCTGCTCTTGAAAATTAACATTCCAGCTTCAAATGATTATGTTTACATTTTCTGCAAGAAATATCCCACCCTGCTCCTCGGGAGAGGAGACTTTAATGATAATTTCTAAGGTGTTCATTAAGTTCAGGAGTCCTCTTTACATCAACCTAGACAAGTAAACTTTCTTTTGTCCAGAGGTAGGGAGCTGGCCTGTCTCAAATCGTCTCCAAGGGCCCCACCAGGAGACTGTCAAAGGCCCTTACCAGCAACCAAAACCGGCAGGGTTGGGAAGGATGCTTAAGTGATAAAGAGATCTTTAGGACCTTGCTACTGTCCCTCCCAGGAGTTAACGCAAAAGTTTACTGGCCTCACCAAGAAAACAATGCAAGAAATAGAAGCCAACTTCCATACATGGTAATTCTGCTAGTTCCAACCACATCTCCCTAAAATCTCTCTCTCTCTCTCTCTCTGCCTAGTGTTTTGAGATCTGAAGGCTGGAAGGGCCTGTGAAATGACCTAGGTCCACCCTGTCACTCAAGGTCAGCAGGTGTGCAAGCACCCACCCGACTTTCTGAGATGCCACCCTGGCCCTCTGCATCAGGCCACTCCGGAGACCACCAGGCAGCCGAGTCCAGCCTACAGATGCTTCCTCCTCAGGCACCCAGCTCCATGAAGGTTTAAAAGCACATTACAGACATAAATTGGTGCCAATGAATTATTCACTACATTTTATCTATAGGGAACTTATGGAATAGTCTCCATCCACAGGGATGAGGTGATCTGGACACAAGGCCAGACTCACAAATGACTGTTCCAGGAGTTCTAATTTTTTAATTCACCTCAATGTACAAAAAACCTAATGAAACAATGATTTTAAAGATAATTTTATTACTTCAAGTTCCATGCAGCAGTAACTGGTGTGATAAAATGTTTCGGCTGGCAGAGGTGCAATGATTAGATGAAAATAAATGTGTATAAAAAAGCGCTTCAAAGTGAATGGGGAGTATCCCTTTAAGAAGTCTTCAGTTTCTTCAGCTCCTCCTACGCGCCAGGCACTGGGCCACCTCCTGGGAATTCAAAGATAACCAAGGTACCATTTGGGGGAGATGCCCAAATAGGAGGTATAGCAAGAGACCAAGTCAGTGCAATCATTCTGCATGCAGAATGAAGGCCAGACAGAGGGTGAAATTACAGCTCACTCTTAAAGGAGCTTCCCAGAGGGCAAGCTGGTAGTATTGTTTGCTATTCCAAGCAGAGGGGCTTCCACCTGCCAAGACAAAGAGACAAGAATGAGTATAGCCTGAGTTATTCAAAATGTCTGGGAGGAAGGGAGGCTGAAGTTCTCTCTGATAGCCAAAGAATTCCAAATTAAAAATAATAAAAGGCAATCATGGGGAAACAGGTTTAAGGATTTTGACATGTATAACTAAATAACCCGCTATATATTTTGAGTAATCTCAACAAGAAAGATTCTGAAAATATCAATAAAACATGAAAGAAAACACATAAAATTAGCTAACGAAACACAGACCATGTGGGACCTAACACTAATCCTGGATGTTTTTATTCTTATTTTCTGTCAGTATTTCTGGCTGGCGAGCATCTTAACCACATCGAATAGCCAAAGGGGAGAGATAAGAGAATGATAATGAAAGTGTTACTACCTATTTAAATAGAGCGATGGAAGGGCAATCTTGCTGTATTTTTCCAAATGAAATCAGCAGTGTTTTTTAAATCTCTAATCTCAAAATAAATATTTTGGAGCTTTAAATTTATTAAATTTATTAAAGTCCTGTAAAAGTATCTTAAAACTCTAACTGTAAAAGAAACACTAGGTATAACAGCTCTGTGCAGTACTGCATCGTTTAAGAAGACCCTAATTCTCTCAGCACAGCTCGCACTGACACAGTAGAGTAACCTTAATCCAAAACTGTAGCCCAGTGATTTCTACAGAAGCCTGTAGTATCCACATTTTCTTGCAATCAGTCCCCAGGAAGCAAGCCAGAGAGTGGGTTGGGATCACTATCTTCCTCCTCGGGGCACTGTTAATTCAGTCACCGAATAGGCTGAATTTCCGTTCTGGCCACTAGATGGAGCCTAAGCATTGGTGAGATGGGCAAAGTGCACACTGGACACCTCTCAGGTGTGAGCAGAAATTGACAAATGAAAAAATTAAGGGGGAACATGTAATAAACAGATCTTTGAAATGGAAGGCAAACTGCAGGGGGTGACTACCGTTTGCTTAAAAAAAAAAATCACAACTGTTTAATAAGTAGCATGCCATCTTGTTAATAAGCACCTTACCAAAATAAAGTAGTATTATACATTTATTGAGCACCTATGTGCCAGGTTCTATACCATATTTAAATGGCAAGGGCAATCAAACATCAAGTCAGCCTTATATTTCTATCCAAAGAACATCTCTGTTCAAGGATGTCACATCCCTAAGAGCAGTAGCAGCTGAAGTCTGAAGGCTTAATACCAGGTGCCAGGTTCTGTTCTAGGCACTTGACACATGTATGAATTTGTTTGATTTTTATGAATGTTAAAGTAGGTTATATTAAAATTATAATTTCACAGATGAGGAAACTGAGGCACAAGAAGATTAAATTATTTGCCTGTGAGCTTAGCTACTGGAGAGCTCAGATTCAAACCAGCCACTTTGGCTCCACGGTCCTAATAAAATTACAAGCAAGGAACAAGACAAAACGAATCACTGTCAACCAACAAAACTGTGGGTTATGAACTCAGAAGGAGTAATGGGGAAGTAGATATATAAGTTAGGGAGATCCCAAAAACCTTCAAGAAGGAGAAGGAATTTGATTTGGAAATGTAAAGATGGATCTCTGATCTATTCGAATCACAGAAAAGGTATATGGGGGAAAGGAATCACCTGACCTAGTATTCTGCCTTTTGAAAGTTATGATCTTGTCCCTATTTTACAGATCCACCTGAAACTTGGAAATTATTTCAATTTTAAAAACCTATTCTATTTCCTCACAATTTTTCTTGTGACTTTGGTTTTCTAAACATGTTAGAAAATGTTTTCATTCTGTTGTTTATGAGAAAAGGAGAAATGTCTCCCCCAAATATTTGTAAGTCTCCACATTTCTATCAAGACTCAGAAAAGTTAGTAACTTTAGGACCAAAGAACTAAATTGGCCACTAAGGACGAAATCTAAAGGCTATTCCCTGGCCTTGCCTGTGCCAATCTTAAGCTGGCCAACTTTCTGCTATTGCCAGGGTACTTAAGAGGTGTGAAGAGTATCGGCGACAAGTAGCTGAAGAGAAAAAACATTCTCAGCTATGGAAACAGCAGAAGCAAAAACTTGGAGACTGGCATAGCATGGCTTACTTCCCCCATCAAGCTAATACAAGATGCTGGGGGAAGTACTGGCAACTAACAGCGGATCCTATAGCAAAGGATTACTAAGCGACGCTTGTTTCATCATTGATTGCTAAGGACGTTTGGACTTGGATTCTAGCCCGCAAGAGGCACATTCAGTTTGGAGGCTGGCAAGTCTTCCAACCAACCAACGGTGGATGGTAGCAGGAAACTGCTTCAGAGGCCAACTCAGCATGTATCAGAGTCAATGGCAGGATCTGCAGCTGGACCAGGCTGCGAGCCAGGAATAGGTGAATCCGAGTGATTTCAAGTGACTCAGTGAGTTTGAAAGGAAACATTCAATTAACGAGTCTCCCCAGAAAAGGACAGGCTACAGAACTGAAATTGAACCACAAATTCCATCCTGAGCCAATCTCTATTGCTGAAAATTTTACTGAGGTGCATGGGAGAAAGAAAATCCCAATTATATCACCTGACCAAGAAAGGCTATCATAACAAAAGTTCCTACGGACTACACGATATCATGTTATGACCTAACATATGCAGTGAACTCATTACCCACAGAAATCAGACAACAGAACTAAGGGAAGCCTAACAGCAGATCTCCCTCTGCTGCTTACTGGTCTCTGCGATCATTTGTTTTTGTGGCAATCTGTGCTTCTCTTTAAAGTCCTGAGTCTGTAAGCTTGTGTATTATCCCACTACAATGAGACTCAGGGAAATGAGGTAAAGAAAATAAATACAGGACAACACAGATAAATGTGGACACAACTGAGGGGGATTTTATAATCTAGACAGAATAGCTAATGACTTAGAAAACACTTTGTAAGCTGATGCAGTCAATTGGATCATGGGCTCCCACCTGGAATTTCTCTCCATGCTTCCTACTTTTTCCAGGAAGTTATCAAGGTCACTAAGGCACTTGAATTTGGGAAAAACTTTTATAAAAAATTCCTCTCTCCTTAATTGCCATCAGACTTCTGTTCTTTAAGGTTCTTATTGACTAAACTTTGGCTGACTTAAATTGGTGATGTCTCATTTACATAATCAAGCATTCCCAATAACCAACTTACAGAGACTAATCACGACTATATTTTCTTAAAGCAGAGGACAAACTAAGAAGCATTCAAAACATATCAGGAAATTTTCAAGTTATGCTCTATAAAATATTTATGCTCTAACAACTATCAAAATATTATTTGTTCTCCAGGTCAAGAGTAATTTTTAAAGTGGTATTGATTTTTAAACTGACAAATAATTCCAAGCCAGTTGAGAAGCTAGTGCCATGTTAAAAAAAAAAAAATGCTGAACAAAAGAGTACAAAACAGCAACAACGATGTATTTCAAACTCCTCAGAATTTGGACAATGGATGGATGGATGGATGGAGATACACAATTTTGAACAAATGGATTTGTATTATGTAACTCTACTGAAGTAGAGACCTGTGGTATTAAGGGGGCTAAGAGTGCGGAGTGAGACAAAACAAAGTTTCAAAAGTTTCAAACTCCTGCCCACAAAGAACTTTCCGGATTAGCAAGACTACTTTCTAAAGTCTTTAAAAATATGGGGGGGGGAAAAAAAGATGTTTTCCAGACTATTACCAGGTGAGCAATTCATTTACTTTTCTTTTTATTATGTATCTTTTGTGTGTGATGGAGTCTTGCTCTGTCACTCAGACTGGAGTACAGTGGCATGATCTCAGCTCACTGCAACCTCTGCCTCCCGGGTTTCAGCAATTCTCCTGCCTCAGGCTCCCAAGTGGCTGGGATTAATAGGCATGGGCACCACGCCAGGCTGATTTTGGTATTTTTAGTAGAAAGTGGGTTTCACTATGTTGGCCAGGCTGGTCTTGAACTCCTGACCTCAAGTGATCTGCCCACCTTGGCCTCCCAGAGTGCTGGGGTTACAGGCGTGAGCCGCTGTGCCCAGCCAGGTGAGCAATAAGGTAGACCCAGCTATCGCTGCAGTGTGTGATGGCCCCATCTACAGGTGTGCACATCTTCCCCATGTGGCTAGCCAGCCACCCCACTACTCCAAAGAATGTGAGTGCTTCAAGACCAGCAGTCATCAAGTGAGCTCCATGGACACAAGGCCCAACAACTTACCTTGCAATCGTAGGTGTTCATCCCTCATCATAAAAGAAACTACTTTCTGTTGTGGTCCAGTGAAATCAGAAGAGCAATCTATGAGTTTAAAAATTCTTGTAGGCCGAGTGCGGTGGCTCGCACCTGTGATCCCAGTCCTCCGGGAGGCCGAGGTGGCTGGGTCACTTCAGTACAACCTGAGCAACATAGCAAAACTTTGTCTGTACTAAAAATACAAAAAATTAGCCAGGCATGGTGGTGTGTGCCTGTAGTCCCAGCTACTTGGGAGGATCACTTGAGCCTGGGAGGTCAAGGCTGCAGCAAGCGTGATCACACCACTGCATTCCAGCCTAGGTGACCAGAGACCCTGTCTCAAAAAAATATGTGTGTGTGTGTGTGTGTGTGTGTATACATAGTCCAGGGCAGGAAAAATAAAAATTTTAAGCTTGCTTACTAGTTCTGTTGTTGTTGTTGTTGTTGTTGTTTTAATAACATGGCAGTAACATCTATGGTTTGACTGATATCTTTAAAAACTATGGTAAGACATTTTATAGTACCAAATAATTTCTAAACCTAAAGAACTGCATCCAGTAAGTACTCAACATATATTTACTGATGAAGAAAAGAGCGGGGGGAAAAAAACTATTTCTCAGTTCAAGTAAGGAAATATCAATTTTTCCTTAAGATTTCAAAATTAATTTAACAGAACATAAGTAAAGCTGGCATCAGTGAAAAAAGGGAAAGAAATCTTCAAAAATGGTGTCTGGGACTTTCAAACGAGTAAAACTGACCATTTAAAAACAGTCTTCAAAAATCCAAAAGTCTCAAAATCAAAC